AAAAATTAGTTTAAAAAATAGATGGTGCTTAGTTAGTTTTAAACTACAATATCCTGCTGTCCTCAATGTCTGTTTACACAGTTAAACATTAAGCAGTACCGGATGCTCCCTGCTGGGGACACTTTCCAGGCCTGGGTTTCATCATGGTCTCTAACAGATAGGGTTCCTCCTCTTTTATTCTTTCATTAAAAAAAAAAACAATTTTGTCTAGGTTTAAATAGAATTTAAGCAGCTACAATGAAAAGGAAGGGATCGCTTAGTAATAAACGTCTCTTTTTTTTTTAAGTCAATTGAGAGCAGTTGTAGAAACTGAAGTCTCTTTTCTGAGTTTGCCATATATTATGTGTATTTCAAAACAGTAAGTGAATATTTGAATGTATGTGTGTGGTAGTTAGATATGGCCATTTTTTGTTGTTGTTGTTGTTTTTTTTAACAGCTCCTCCCACCAAAGAGGTGGAGTCTATTTTCCTGCCCTTTGAACTTGTGTTGGCCTTGTGACTTGCTATGGCCAATATATGCTGAAGTGACCTCCTGTGTGTTCAGGGTCCTGAACCTTAAGAGAACTTGTAGCTTCTGCCTTTGTTCACTTGGAGAGGTGTCCTGAGACTGCATAATAGGAAATCTTCGAGAAGCGAGCATCGACTTCCCAAGAGAGAGCAGAGGCACATGAGCCCTGGGGAGACCAGCAGAACAACCAGCCAGCCAGCCCCCCAACTGTGAGAAATAACAAGTCAGTTTGTTTTAGGTCCCTCAGTGTAGGGGTGGTCATTTCTGCAGGAAGCCTAAGTGAAACAATAGCATCCCCAAGTCTCTTTGTCTTTCTGTGAGTGTGTAAATCCAGCTACAGTATGTGCGATTTAAAGATAAAATAGTTTCTTAGAGCTTAAAGGCAATTTGGATGTTCCTCAGGAGCAGGGTGCAGAATGGAAATGGGCTTTTTAAAGAGATAAATGGAACACCATATAGGAATTTGCAACAGCAATATCAGGCAAGTAAAATGCTCACACATCAAAAATATACACTGCCTCTTTCAGTACTTAACCAGTGTGTGACAAGTACACATCTTAAATCACTTTTATTATGAAACAGTTCCAGTGTACACAAAGGCTAGAAAATAAATATCAAACTATTGCACACCATGCCTAGCTAAAGAAAGAATATTACAGACACAGTGAAAGCCCTTTCCAATCACATTCTCCTCCTTCCCTTCCCAGAGGAAACCATTGTCCCTGTTCATCATTCTCATGAGTGTCTATGTTTAATATTCAGCTTTGCAGTTTTACAATTTTAAGTAAAATGAATCATCTGTATATGCCTGCAATTTGCCTGCTTTACTTAATACTAAATTTTTGAGGTTTATCCATGTTGCTGCAAGTGAGGAAAACACCGGACTCTACTCTTGGGAAAGAGAGATGCCCTCCTTGAGAGTCAGCAAGAATCAGGACCAGCCAAGGGGACAGTGAGTCATTATGTCCCACTTTGTAACACTCCCGGGTGGACACAGTCACCTGGCCTGCTGATCTCAATCCTAGATCTCTCTCTCCCTCCCCCTCACTCCCTCCCTTCCTTCAGTGTGTCCACACGAATTGATTATTCTGTAATGAAAGATTACAAAGCAGAAGGCAAGCTCTAAATTACATAGTTCCATTTTGTCCAGTTGAAATGAAATACGAGCCACATGTGTACTTTTAAATATTCTACTAGTCACATTTTAAAAAGTGAGGAGAAGTAAGTATATTATCTGTCTTAGTCGCTTTCCTCATCATGGGGACTAAATACCCAACTTAAACTTAAAGGAGAAAACTTAAAGGAGAAAAAGTTTATTTTGGCTCATGTTTTTAGTCCACAGTTGGCTGGCTCCAAGGCAGGCAGGGCATGGTGGAAGGGCCTGGCGTGGAGGACAGCTGCTCATGTCACAGCAACCAGGAAGAAGGAGAGTAGGGAGGAGCCAGGGAGGGACTTACAGGCTTTCAGGTCAGGCCTGCAGAGACCTGCCTCTACTGACCAGACCCCACCTCCTATCAGTCATTTAGCTACAGTACCCATGTCCAATCCTAGGCTCGCCTAGGAGTACCCAAGGCTCTTGGAAGACATCTAGATATAAGCCATAGCATTAATTTTAATAATATATTTCATTTAACCCACTGTTACCTTTGCATAGTACATATTTAATATATAGTAGGTATAAAATTATTAATGCGGCAGTTGACATTTTTCATACGAAATATTCAAAATCTGACATGTATTTTTAAGTTCTAGCACATGTTCATTTGGATCAACACCTTTCCTGATCCAGCAGCCACATGTGGTGGGCAGCTACAATTTTAGCACAGATGGCCCTTTGACATCTGACCTGAAAACACACTGAGCCATCCTGAGCCTTCTCCATGGTGAATGAACACTGGGAGTTGTCCATGTCTTCCCAGCAGACCGGCAGGCTCTGTGCACAGGGGTCTGGAGGCTGTGGGGTGAGGAGGTTCAGCAGAAGCAGTACCCACTGGGTTGGCAAGCCTGGCGTGAGGCTCCAGTGCCATTTGCTCTTACATACTCTCGGGAAGGTTACTTAATATTCCAAGCTCTTGGGGTCTCAGTTTCTCTCTCTGTGAAGTGCAAATGGGGCCTAGAAATGTTTTAAGAGCCCTTGCAGCCCTGATGATCCTGGCTGCTCCATCTGCCATGGCCACTCTACCTTGGGGTCAAAGATAGTGGCCAGTGCTGAGGGATAGGGTGCTGTCTGTCTTCCCAACTCCACACCAGAGAGCCTTCCTTAGACTCGGACTCCTGCGTGGTCCCTGGGAGCCTGAGTGTAAGCCTTTGTTCTTTGAGGAGGACCATGATTCTACCTCAGGCCAGACTGGCACCCTGGAAGTCTACAGTTGGAAAGAACCACAAACCAACTGCCTTGGGTGGCATGGGGCAGGCAGCGTTTTATTTAGATGAATCCACACAGAGATTCTACAGTTCATTCTGGGCACATGATTACATGGTTTTGATGCCATGTAGCCTTACGGGAAGTCAAGAGCACTGACTGCAAATCCTGGCTCACATCAAGCTTACTGTGCTCCGACTCGGTTTCCTTGCTTCTCCACTTGGCAGTATAACTAGTACTTATCCTATAGGTATGATGATTCTATCCTGGCCCTCAAATCCTTCAAGAAACAGAAGGCTTTCTCTAAAAGCTGCATAAACCCAAGATTTGAAGTGCTTTGGGGCTGAATGAGGGCTGAAGTCAGGCAAGAACCCAGGATCTAGTCCCTTTTCTTCTTTGAAGCTCAAAGGGTACTAAGGAAGACGCAGCTAGGACCAGCCTGGAAGCTCTGAGGAAGAGAAACAGTCACCTTCATTTTGTTCCTCAAGGCCTTTTTGAAAGAGAGGCAACTTGTTGCACCTCAGGGAGGACCCATGAGGCTTTTAGCATTTTCCCAGGTCCCTGTTTTAGGTGGGCACCAAAGGGACAGGCTTGAAGAGAGACCCTCTTCTCAATCAAATCTCTGTCCATGGTCGGGAGGGGCCACTTGTCAGGGCATTTAGATCCTTGTGTCCTTTGGCAAATTGTCATTGGACATAAATCAAAAGTTAATATGGCACTGCATCTCCTTGCATCTCCTATTTTATTTTTTTATTTTAGTACTGAGAATTGAACCCAGGGCCTCATATCCTTGGACCTTTTTTATTTTTTATTTTGAGACAGGTTCTCACTAAGTTGGTAAGTTGTCCAGGGTCAGCTGGAACTTGGGGTCCTCCTGCTTCAGCTTCCCAGAGTGCTGGGATTATAGGCATGCACCCCTATCCCCAGGGTATTACATTGCCTCATTAAATACATAAATCACCACCAAAATCATGCAAGCTCATTCAAAAATTATCTTCTTTCTTGCCATACCTGTAATACATACTTGTAGTCCCAGCTACTCAGGGGCTGAAGCACTAGGATTGCTTGAGCCCAGAAATTCAAAGCCAAACTGGACAACATAGTAAGAGCCCACCTCTTAAACAACAAAAGCAAAAGTTCTCCCTGAGAGCTCAATTTACTAACTTTTTAGGATTTAGAGATTTATTTTCCAGGTATTATTTTTAATTTCAAAAGAAAAATTCTAATTCAATTTAAAGTTTCATATGCATATATCTAGTACATATTCAAATACTATAAAAGGGTATTCAGTAAAATGTAGATGTCTATTCCAGTCTGGCCACACACCAATCTGTTACTGGTTTCCTATATATCATTTTATAATTATTCTATCCATAAAAATATATTTTCAGAGTTTTTAAAAGGATGTACTGTTTAATTGTAAGGCTACTTTAACTCAACAAGGTAAAAAGGTAGAAACCTGTGGATTAAAAAAGAAAGAAAAAGGCCTGGGGTGTAATTGTTTTAAATGATGTGTTGAGTTTAAAAATATTTTGATGCGTTCCAATACGTGGAAAACAAGATGCTGTGAATCATTGTCTTGAATAAACTGTCTGATATGATTATATAGTTTTGTGTTCGCCATGGAAGGTCACCTCAACGAGTTTACATAATATTATACAGAAAACAGAAAGTGCCCAATAAACGGGAGTGAGCGGGGAAGGACAGAAAGCAGCTGGCCTCAGACCTGCGCAGCCGGGCAGAGGGGTGGAAGGAGAGGGGGCCGGGAGCAAAGCTCCAGGCTGCTGCTTCCGGGATCCGCTGGTGTAGCGCCAGTGCGAGGGACGGGTTGCCTTGTAAATTGCATTTAAATTGATTTGAATTTTAATAGCCACCGGGGCTAGTGGTTGCTGGATAGTGTAGTTCTGGGGTTCGGGAGGATCGGTGAGCACAGAAAGGTCAGCGAAAAAGGGAAGAGGATGAACAAGGCCGAGGAACAGCAGAAGGGGAAAGAAGGAAAGAAAGGAAAGCGGGAGAGGAAGTTGCAGGATCAGGCAGCCAGCACAGTCGCCTCAACGGCGGGGAGGGCGTCCCCCCACTTCTGGTTACTGAGGTCCCTGTGACAGCAGGGCAGCAGGGCCAGGGGTCCTACCTGCCTTAGCTCTGACGGGAGCTGTGGCCTCCATCCCAAGGGCCTGTCTGTCCTCCGTCCTAACGTGGAAAACCCGGTTCCCTACACCACTAGGTGTCACCGTTAGCCAAAATGAGTTTTCATGTTTTATCGTCTTTAACCTGAACAACCTGGTGAAAGTTTCTTCCTTGAGCCTGCAGCTGATCGACGTGATTTATTTAGGCCTTTTCCTTCACACCAAAAGCAAAGTGGTTGGATAACCCGCTCAACAGGGATACTTGTTCTAATTTGGTTTTTCTTTCCAGTTAAAACTTTGCTAAGTACCACAAATGTGTATGTAATGTGTGTGTGTGTGTGTGTGTGTGTGTGTGCACGCATGTACTGATTCATTATTAAATATTTGCCACCAGTGTGGTGGCGCAAATCTGTTATCTCAGCACTCCCAGAGGCTGAGGTGGGAGGACTGACTGCAAGTTCGAGCTCAGCCTGGGAGACTTAGCAACTTAGTGAGACCCTGTCTCAAAATAAAATGTAGGGAAGGGGGCTAGACTGGGGCTGTAGCTCAGCGTGAAGGCCCAGGGTTCAATCCCCAGTACAAAAAACAAAACAAAACGAAACAACCAACCAACCATGTGCTAGGCAGAGGTCCCATGCCCATGTACAGATGTGTAAGTTATGCACTGCACAACTCCAGGAGGGCACCGTTTACGTAGACATCAATGTGAATGATGCTCCCAGAAGTTGTGCAGCAGCCCTGAAGCTCTGCAAGACTCTGGTCTGGACCATTGGGACCGAAGTGGAAGAGGAAGTTGGGGGATCAGGCAGCCAGCACAGTCGAGTAAGACGTGGTTCCCGCTTTTCCAGTCTGTTCAGTTCTATCTCCTAGAAAAGTCTGTTGGCCTAAAATCTTTGTAACTAGAAATACCTGTGCCCTGTATAAATTGTGGTTCTGTACACCAAAGGTAGCTTTCCCTTCTATCTTTGTGAGAAAAGCTAAGGTTTAGTTTCTCTTCAGAAAAGAAATCTCCCTCACTGGGAACATTTAATGAATGAAGCACTGTATGGAGCCAGCTGGGAAATGAGTCATGAGCTTTCCCTTGAGCAATCACACCTAAAATCTAAAGGAGCAGCCTTAAGTTTTGCGTATCTAAATCTGACCTCTGAATACCAGAGGAGGAGCAGCAGTTGAACATATACGCAGAGACCAGGACCCCGAGTCTAGCCTGATTGGGCTTTCTTGGGGAGTGTACCAGTTAGGTTGTTCTGTGTAACAAATAATCCCGAAACTCAGTGGCTGAAAACAAACTGTGTTATTTTTCATGATTCTGTGGGTATTTTGCCAGTCCTTCCGATGTAGGTTGGAGTGGCCCACCTGTCAAGTGGAATTGTCTGGTCTTACTCATCTACTAGGGTGCTTGGTTGAAGAGGATTGAACTGGGACAGACTGTCTGTGGTCCACGCGGTCTTCTGTTCTCCAGCAAGCCACCCCCACCCGGGGCTGCACATGGTGGCCTCAGGGTACTAAGGAGCGGCAGGAGAGGCAAGCTCTGATACGCAAATGCTTTTAAATTTTTTCTTATGTCACCTTGGCTCTTGTCCCATTGGCCAAGGCAAGTTACATGGCCAGGATGGCATCAGTATGAAAGGTGTTCTCTGTGTGAGGACACAGAGAGGTCAACAGTCAAGTTTATCAAAATAACGTCTTCTCGACCTACTGCCCAGGGATGCAAAAAGAACAAACCCACAGAAGAAACTGCTGTATATCACTCAAAGTGAAGGAGCCACATAAACACTAATTTTATTCCAGTGTACTCATTTACCTTTTTTATGTCCCCATAACGTGGCTAACTTATTTATGGGAAAATTTAATAGAAATATCTACCAAATATAAAGGTAAGAACTTCAAAATAAATTTCTTTTTTTTTTTCTTTCAGTATTTTCCCTTGTAAGTAGGGACATTGGCCTAAAGGTGTAACCAGGAGAACTACTGGAGAGTGTTTGGCCACATGTCAACTTCTACAGTTACACCTATGTGCCAGACTCTACAGGTGCATTTTGCTGTGAATAACTGCTCAGCGATATACAGGTTCAATACTTGTTAGCACAGGCCTTGAAGGACTTAATCAGATAAAGAGAGGGAGTAGGAGGTTACAGAGTAAGTCCTCAGTCCTGTTTGCACGTTGCTGAGTATTGCTGAAGACAGCAGCACTTACGTAAATCCACACTCAATCCTACTGGAGCCATGATTAGCCAAGAGCATGAATTCATCCTTTTTTTTTTTTTTTTTTTTTTTGGTACCAAGGATCGAACTCTGGACCTGAAGCTTTTGAGGCAGGCGCAGCACTGCTGAGCCACATCCCCAACCCTCATCTTCATAGACAACATTTTTTCCCTACAATTTGTGGTCTCTATCATTAAACTTGATGAGCAAACATTTATCAAGCACCTGTGTGCTCAGAACTGTCACAGTTCTTCACCCCTGCTTTTCTGGAGAATGTTTGCTCTGAGCTTTGAAGAATAAGTAGGTTTCTCCATGTGAGTGAGGGTGAGAGAATTCCATGCAGAGGGAACCAAATGGCAAAGAGAGCTTTAAAGAACATAGCAGCTTCAGAAAGAGGAGACCACGCAGGAGAATGTTATAGAAAGTGGAAAAGAAGGTGAGGCTGGCTTGACAAGGGCTTTTGAATACTAAAGAGTTTATATGAGGGCCTTCAAAGGCCTCTGACTACAGCATTCTCACAGTTATAACTATTTTAGAAATATCACTTTGACTCCGACTCCCTGCCAAATGGCAAAATCATCAAGGGCTGCTAGTCAACTCCTCCAGGCCTGGAGTGCCTCAGCAACAGGGCAGGTGATGGATCTGCCAATGAGTGAATAACCATGGGAGCCTCAAGTCTAGAAGGACAACATGTGGTTGGGTTCCAGGTCTGTGTGTGTGTCACTGCAGACAACAGAGGAAGAGGCCAAGGGCCATGTGTGTGGAAGCTTCTATATTGGGCTCCTTTCTGTCCCACATTTCCATGGGCAGATTATGGTCAACCTCTGCTCCACTGCAAGATGGAACCAAAGAACCAGTCCTGCACCAGCAGAAGATGGAGCTTGTATGGGCCTCAGGACTGGTTTACTTCCTGGGTATCAGGCCAAGATCTGAGGTGCAGACAGAGCCACATTCCTTCCAAGAACTGCTACTACTCAGCTTAGTGCTGGAGGTCCTGGATGATGTGATAAGACAAGAAAAAAGCAATGGTACAAGGATTTCAACAGAAGTGTCAAAAGAGTTATTTATAGATGACCTGATTATCTACATAAACCACAGAATGAATAGGAAAACTTTTGGAAGTAAACAGGATGTCTGGAACCAGATCTACTTCAAAAAATCAGTACCATTCTTCTTCCTCAGCAATATTCAACCAGAGAAGGTAATAGGAAATAAGATAACTTTCACAAGAGCAACCAAAAAAAGTACCTAAGAATCAACTTAATAAAAATCTAAAAATTTTTGGAGAAAAATGTAATACCACTAAGGGACATAAGACTTAAATAAGCAAAGAGATATTCCATTGAACATGTAAAGATACCAACTCTCCCCAAATTAATCTAAAAATACAAGGTGGTTTCGACATATTCACAACAGAAATTTTTAAGGGAATAGAAGAATATCCAAAATTTATATGGAAGAAAAAAGCCAAGGTCCACAATTAGTTGAGTCATTTTTGAAAAAAGAACAAAGGTAGGACTTGCCCGAGTATACGTCAATGGTATGTAATAAAACATTAGGGCACTGAGACAGAAGCATGGAAGTAGAACAAGGGTAAGAAAGTACTCAGAAGTATACACGTGTGCATTTATGTGTGTGTGACTGTGGGTGTGTGTGTGTGTGACTGATATATGGAAAACTAACCAATGAGAAAAGATGGGTTGCTTAGCAGATACTATAGGGAAAACTGGCTCACTGCATGAAAAAAATTATGTAGGAACCCTAATATCTGACACCATAAACAAAGGTGAACTTCAGAGAAATTAAAGATATAAATGCCAAAAGCAACTCTACAAAACAAATATAGATATAAAGACATTTATTTAAAATGTATATGTATCAGAATATATTTATGTATTTATCAGGATATATTTGTAGTCTTAATAAGCAAAGTGGAGAGTAAGTTTTTAAAAATAGGTTCAAAATATGAAACAATATTCCCCACAAATGGATGTATTAGGTTCTGTCTAAATTGATAATGATGGCTATTATTGTCAAAATGAACTGACTGAAAAAGTATTTGAAACTTCCAAAACCAGCAAGGGATCATACCCTGGAATAAATAAGAAAGTTCTACAAATCAGTCAGCAAAGGAGAATCTAATAGGAAAATAGGCAAAAGATATGAATATATGACTTACCCAAGAAAATTCACTAGTTTCCTTCAACTTCATTAGTTATTAAATGAAAGTGAAAACAATGAGCTGTCTCTATTCATTTTGTTGGCAGAATGGGAGGTTGGATAATACCAAACTGTGGCAAGACTACAGGGAAATGGAAACTCATGCTTGTCTGGTGGGAAAGTGACTGGCAGAGCTGTTCTGGGGCATGGCAAAGATAAGCACAGCCCTGCACTAGTTATAGAGGCGAGGACAGGTTTTATTCAATAACTATGGTAGTAGGAAAGAATCTGAGTGACCTGAACCCAGTCCTGGAAATAGAAGGCTGGAGACTGTTTAAAGCCTGATGTGTGCTAAGGGAAAGGTCCTGCGGGTGCTATGGGGCTTGTCCCTGTGGCTGGACCACCAGGATTTGTTAAATGGCACGTATCTGAAGGAGAACAAACTTCTGGTAATCTTTGTGACAGAAGGCAGTGTTGTAAATTAAAGGAAGGTGTCCACAGCAGGGAGAGGGGAGGTGCCCCAGGGATTTAAAGCCGGGCACCCCAAAGGAGAAGGGAGGGAAAGCCATCTCCCCAACGGGCTTCCATTTAGGGAAGGGTATACATGGTAGATCTACATCTCAAAGGGCAATGAAAAGATTTATCTTTGAAGCTTTCTAAAGTAACTGCTCACTCTATCAGGGGCTCGGGCCTATCTGCCCATCAGATGTTGGCTGGAAGAAATGGTATCTTCTCTTGGCAGGCATTTTAAGGAGACCTGGGG